GGGTAAAGTGGAGAAAATTATGGGTTTTGACAAAGAGGGGTTGTTAGAATTGAGGAAGGATTGTTAGATTTGAGATGAAGAAAAAGGATTTAAAGAGAAATTGATTCCTTTTTATGTGCACATTTACGAAAATGCCACTTAGGGATGTTCATTTGTAAAAATACCACTAATTATAGATTTTTAAACCTTATATCTTAAAATTCTAAACACTAAAAAATATTTTGAGCCCTAAACCCTCATAACTAAACCCTAATAGAACATAATTAACCCAAATATAAATAATATAAAGAAAATATAATTTTGAAAAAGTGGTATTTTTGTAAAGATTTCAAAGTGTGGCATTTTTGTAAAGTGGCACTTGAAAAATGGCATTTTTTGAAATTTTTCATTTATTTTCCTACTTTTTGCTTGGTCTTTTTACATTTAATAATTATTAAAATGGTAAAATTAAAATTCAGATTTCTATACAACGTAATTAATCTTATCGAGACATGTTTGAGTCAATCGGTTAGATTTATACAAGTATAAAATAATTTTCTTAATTAGATTTAGCAATATTTCAAAAGATTTATCTATTTAAAAATAATAATATTTTTATTTGGTAAATATTAAAATTTATCCTATCTTAAATAGGATTTGAAATATTGAACTATTTGAATATATGTGATTCAATTTAGTTGATAATCAAACTATGTAAAAAATAAAATATAAAAATATAATAGATAAATATTTGATAGATTTCTATATAAATGATTTTGTAATAACGTTTTCAATTTTATATTATTATTAAATGGAGTGATCTAATTTTGTCTTTTATTTTTTCGTCTTTGATTTTTGCAAGTTATAAAATATTCAAGAGTAAAAATAGTTCAAATATAAATATGAGAAATAATCCATCAACAGTTTCAAAAGTATATATTTGAAGTGACAATTGCAAAAATGTCACTTTTGGTGTGTACATTTACAAAAATACCACTATAGATTGTCCATTTGCAAAAATACAACAAATTATGGATTTTTATAGCCTAAATCTTAAAATTCTAAACCCTAAAAAAATTTGACCCCTAAAATCTCCTAAACCCTCAAAACTAAACCATAATACAAATTAGTTAACCCAAACATAAATGATATAATGAAAAAATAATTTTGAAAAAGTGGCAGTTTTGCAAAGATTTTGAAAATGTGGCATTTTTGAAAAGTGGCACTTCAAATGTGGCATTTCTTAAAATTTCTCATATTTGAATAGTAAAATAAGATTAAAAGTAAAAAAACTACCAAATTTAAACATGACTAAGAAAAACTAATGATTTCAAAAGATGTGAT